CTCATCGGGAAGTACTGGAAGACACAAGAATTGCCCACCCGAGAAGAATGGCAGATGAAAGTGATGGACTACATGGAACTGGCTGAGATGACCGGCAGAATTCGAGACCAGGGAGAAGGGTCGATGGAAGAAGATTGGAAAAAATTCAAAATATATCTTCAAAAGTACTGCAATATAAAAGAATGTTAGAAAGAGGTTGGAAAAAGAATATTAGGTCGTTCTGGTAGATATGATATAATGGACTAAGCAAAAATGAGTTGATGAAATTGATGAATTAGAGGAGGTTTAATCACATTATTTTAATTTTAAAATACGTAAATGAAAATAAGGTTAGAAGGATTTGCTGGAAACACGATCTGAACTAGAATACAAAACTGGGAGGTGAGAGGAGGTCATGGAAATAAGTAAAGGGAAAAGGCTATGTAAAGGTTTAATCTGTTTTTGTTTTATTTTAACTCAATGTATTTTTATATTTTTTGTTAAGTCTTCTTTTTTATTCTATCTTATTGTTCTTTTTTACTTGTTTATTTCTTGCTTTGTTATGGCTAAAGTTTTCTTTGTATTTTGTATGGTTTTTCTTTTTCTTTTTTGTAACTTTAAATCTGGAATAAATATCATTAAAAAAAAAAAAGGAGATAGGCCTCCTTCTTGCAGAGATGTTCAATGTGTGTATGGGGACTTACAAGATGGGTGGGATTCATTCTTCTCCCCCCTGTGAACCAATGGGCTGCATATATGAACTCAGTGGGGAGTATATGTATAGGATTGCCCCACAAGTGGTGGGGAGATCACAAATGGCTGGGGATGAAATGAGTCCTTCCTGCCTTAGTTAAACTGGTTGTCTCTGAAGGTGCTCAAGTGCCCTCTGCTGATGCTTCAACAGATGGGGACAATCTCTTCCAAGACCTACTGACACCCCCCAAATTCTCTGTAAGGCAGGAAAAATAAAAACAGCAGTATTGATTCCCTCACATGAAAACAGAGCACAACTGTATCAGAAATATCTTGAAGACTCATATAATTAGTATGAATGTAAATAAGTATTTACATTCTGCAGCCTTCTGCTCTCCACAGCAATGGAACAATCAGTGGCTTTATATTTTGCTGACAGACAGGGAACTCTTTCTAAAACACATTTACATTTCAGATGGAGTGTAAAACGATTTACACACTATAGTCTTTAATATTTCTCACTCTGGTTTGTCAATATGAGGCATGTGAAACCGAGTAAATAGAGAAATAAATTGCACAAGCAAATAGCTTCTTTTAAGCCCCATGCACCAAAGGAAATATTTTTCTCTCTTTCTAGAGTTTCATTCTGCCTTGCCAGATTGGTTTTTGATGACAGTTTAAGTTTCTGGTTTTCTTAAACAAGAAAACAAGGTTAGGTTGGAGCAGAGAGAAAAAAATATTTTCAGTAGATTCCATTCTCTAGAACAGGGGGTCTGAGAAACCAAAGCAACTTTCACATTTCTTTTAATCACAGACGCAGCTGTTGACATTGCGTGGACAGGCGGAGTCCCCAGATCAAGCGCGGTCCCCCCGTCATGTGGAATGACAACTCATGACAATGTGCTATGGGATTAAATTGGCCACAACTTTATTAAATTTCAAATGTGGGTAGACCTTGGCTCAGGCATTGGGCGTTCTCCCTCCCCAGCCCCCAGCCGGGGACCTAGGGAGCATCAGGGTTATCCAGTGGGGGGGGGGGGGATGGGCCGGCTCTGGAGAACATATGTTCAAGCAGAGATAGCCGCCCCTGTTACGCCGCCGCCGCAGGGGAGAGCAATGACGACCTTTCGGCGTACGGTCAAAGCCTCCCTTCAGAAACCTTTAACGGGGAACCCTGGTATCGCCGCCACAAAGAGGAAGATGGACTAAAGGATTCCGCCCAAGGCCTGATACTGCCAAAGTTGTGACGTTTTGCTATGGGAAAGGCGAAACCTGCCAATGCAGGGAAATTCCTTTCCGGCCCTTTAACAGCAACATTAACGTAGCAGCGCCCACATACCTGCGAAGAAAAGTTAACCTGCAAATAAGACATTAACTGAGGGTGGGTAGGGTGGGAGAAGCTCTGGAGCCAAGTGAGGATTCCCAGGTAAGATCCTCCCTCTATTGTGTGGGCAGGTAATCCCTCCCCTACCTGGCCTGGTCTTCTTGGCAACGCTTCCCCAGGTGGGATTGGACAACTGACTGAGGTAGGCGGAGACCTCCAGGTATCCCACCTGAGGGAAGGCAAACCAAGCCTATGCTGTTGGAGCCGCTCCAGATCTAGGGGCTGCGCGCGTCCACGCAAAGGGCGCCCCCCGTTTTAAGCGGGGAGCGGTCATTCCTCTTTAGTTAAGTGCTTAGCTGCAGTATGAGAAGAAACAGCACCTCAACTCCTGGGCTTCAGCTCAAACTCCTATCAAGGGGAGAGACCCTGGCTCAGTAGCAGAGCACATGCTTTGTGTGCCAAATGACCCAAATCCAACGCCAGGCACCTTCAGTTAAAATGGATGATGCTTATAAAGGCCTCCAAGGCTGGCACAAGACATTCTGCCACCTGAGCAGAGGCAGACCAGCTGCCTCCGCTTCCCTATACACAGTGACAGCTGTAGCCCCCCCCCATTAACCACCTGCCCCACCTCCTCCTCCAACCTCAGTACTGTCTTGCTCTGAAAGACATGGTATCCTTCCTCCTGCTCTCCAGGGTTGCCTCACTCCAAACACCTCACTCCACAGAAGGTCCCTTCCTTGGACCAAGGCACAGGTAAGGGAGGCAGGGATTTATGAGCACTGGAGCCACTCTGCTTCAGTGGAAGGGTGCTGCTGCTCTTAGAGTCCTTGGCAGCTGTATCTGGGCTGGAGTAGTGGCTGGTTGACCAGCAGTTCCATTCACCACAGCAACACTTAATTGGGCAGCTGGCAAAACAGCACTGAGTGGTTCTCTTGGTGGGTGGAGGTGGCAGATGTGAATGAGCCAGGGGACCCTGACTCATGGCCCTCACAATCTGCCACCTGCGGCAAAGGGTTCCACTTGCCTAATGGGTTGGCGAACAGGTGCCTGTCAGAATACAGAAAACCTGCCTAGATGGTCCAGTGGTCTGACATGGTCACCTGCTGATGCTCCTCTTTTCAAGAGACATCACTCCCCCTTTGCTGATACATGGAAGAGCAAGGAAAGGGTTGAAGGTGGAAGAGAAATTATTAACAATGGCCACATAATGATCATTCTGTACGCATTTTTGAAGATGGCTTTAAAGGGTTTTATGATACCTTTATGACTGAGTTTTAAAGAAGGTAGATTATATTACTTGTACAGCAAAGCATAAATCTTTTCTCTAACCAGTCGCCCTCTTCCAAGTTCTCTCTCGTTTGGTGTAAGTATTTTGACGATGATATGGGGAAGAATTGGCTGCCATGCCCTTCACTAGTCTCATTCATATTCCCCTGGCTTTAATTACTCCTGTCAATTCTTCATGTTTCATTACCTTCACTTCAGATTTTGTCTGTATAAACATTTGGGGAATATATCTCCCCCTCCTCTCAGTGCTATCATGAAATGGTAGCCAGCCATCTGGATGTGTAACCTTCTTGTCGTCAAAGAGCTGGTGTACTTATTATGCAGTCCTTATTAATACCTAAATTATCTGTTTCCTGCTCTTCAAGCAAAAAGAGGATCTTTCATGGCAGAGTAGTAGTTATGGAATGAACTTTGATGCCCTTTGTGGGAAATAATTATAAAGCATTTAGCCATAAATAACAAATCATTTTCATTTTCTTCACGGTGATTGAGGTGTATCGACAACTTCAAAAATAGCTTTTAAAAAATTGGGGAAAAACATTTAATAGAATGTTCTGCCTCAGAATGAAACTGATTGTGCTTATTATATATCATTTGCAAATCTAAACACTATCAGCAACACTGAATAGCTGGATATGCAGTTCAGAGATGATGGGAATTCTAAGCCAAGTGATGATCCCTCCAGACTACAATTCCCATTATCTTTGACCATTGGCCATGCTGGGTGGGGGCTGATGGGAGTTGGAGTCCAACAACGTCTGGAGAGCCAGATGTTCTCCATCCCTGGAGTATAGGTAATGGGAAAGCAAGTGTTATAAACTAAACAAGCCAAATCATTGCAGTCCAACAGAAGGGAAAGTAGCTGTCACCATATTTGGCCATGTGTTTCTACCTAAAGAGACATGAAAGTTTAAGAACACAAGTTGATTACATCCCACCTTTAAAAGACCCAGTTCTTCTGTTCCTCAAGGAGCTATAGTATACTCCATGCAATGAACTTATACTCAAATGTAATGGAACACAATCACATGTGCTGACTTGAAAATAGAGGGAGATTTTACAGAGAAATCACTATTATGTGCTAAAGAGCTGTTAGCTGTTATAGGAATGTGATAAGGAATTTACTAGCATTATAATCTCAAATGGACAGAAGTAATTTAAAGAGACTGTGATTCATAGCTAGATAGAGAGACAGAGATGCTCCTTGGAATCTTTTAATAATAGAATAGAATCATAGAGTTGGAAGAGACCACAAGGGCCATCGAGTCCAACCCCCTGCCAAGCAGGAAACATGCTAGTCATTTGGATGTCTTCAATGAGTATTCAGAATCAAGTTCATGAGCATGGATGCTCATTGCTTATTAGATGGTAAGCATCAAATGATGAGATGTTGGTGAGAGTAAACCGCTATCACAAATGAATGACCAAAGACGGGGCTCTTACTGAATTCAAGATCCATTTCTCTGAACCACACCAAGTTTCTACAATCTCGGGGGGGGGGGGGGGCACCTGTCAACTCACACACAGGGAGGGTCACGATCTTGTGAAGCAGCAGTGAGGGCAAAAACAATGATGGCAGCCAGTGAGGTGTGTTGGAGGGGAGGGAGTCAATGGCCTTACTGGTGGTTGTCGCTGTGAGTCAGAAGATGATACATGCACTACAATGCAGAGCTGATGATATCATAATCCCACCCCCGTCTGAGCATGGCTGAACAGCTGAACTCCGCCGCTAGCAATGTAAGCATATGGGGACTCAAACTAGAGCAGCCAGCATCCAGTCTCTAGAGCCTTCCTTCATTCAGCAGCTGCACTCTGGCTCTTCAGGAGGTCAGGTAGATGAGGCCGTAGGGCAAGAATGAGAAATTTGTGACCTTCTAGATGTTGTTGGGACTCCAAATCCCATCAGTCCCATTCAGCATGGCCAATGGGCAGAGGAAAGATGGGAGTTGGGGTCCAGCAGCAAATGGAGGGCCACAGAAGAGAATCAGATGATCTCCCGGCTTGCACAGTGGCAGCTGATTTTGCAAACTGATTGGGACACACCAGGCCCCATAATGCCTTAAAGCCAAGCTAGCTTATGTCCAAACAGCTTACCTTTAGCACTACCACCCTGCCTGCCTGTCGTCTTTGCCCCTTTCCAACCCTATGTTTGTTTTTTTGGAATGCAGCCTTCAATTTATTCTTTATTTTTTAAAAAGATGATTGGATTCTATAGGTTTAAAAAGCTAAAAATGAAAACATAAAACATAATAATTAAAAGGAAACACCACAGATCCCCCCCACACTCCCATCTCTGTAGCCCTCGGTGGTACTGTTCAATTACATACAAGTCATTTAAAAATTCTAATGCTTGTTGGTTTCATTTCATTGTGCAACTACAAGTAATCAGAATGAGTCTGGGTAGAGTTTCATTTGCCATCGTAGTGGAAATTGTGGGTGGAAAATATGAATCACTGTGTGTGGAGTAAATAACAAAAGAATCAGCTGGGTGCCTGGATTCAAAACACAGGGGGGTAAACTCACTCTCCAATGCTAAGTGAGTTTAACATGCTTTAGAAGGTATTATGCAGCAGAAGGGAGAAATTGAAACACCATGGAAAATGGGATGGGAATTCAGAAAAAGATAAAATTATGTGTTGAAATATATACGTTAAACTTTTGAAAACTTAATAAAAATATATTTTTTAAAAATGCTTTACTTACAGATTTGAAGGTCAAATTTATGCATTTATCCAAGCAGCAGCAAGGAGAACATAGGCAGAAACTATTGGTTAGAAAATACAGAAATATAGTTTCAAACTCATGCTCTAAGCTTGGAGCTTGCTTAGGCACATCTTCCTTGGTGAGTTACATGGCCCGGATGAGAGAGGGAGCAGCAAAAGAAGGCTTCACTTCCTCCCTTGTCAGAGAAGGGGTGTGTTCCTAGCTGAGTCTAGGAATCCAGCTGTATTGTCTTAACTACTTTGTGCACTAACATAGCACACATGCATAGTTATGTTTGACTACAATTTCCCAAAGAAATGAAGAGAAAGGCCAGCAGCCTGCCACAGCAATGCTATTTGATGTTCATTTGTTTATGCTATGATATCCATATCTGTGGCTGAATGGATGATAATTTGTCTGTCCCATGATTGTCATTAATATATGAAATAAAAGGCCACCAAATCATAAAGAAAGTGTCTGGCTTCTCTGTGCTTATAGCAACATGGAGATTGTGTGTTAGCCCATTTCCAGATGTTTTTGTATGAATCCTTTTGAATTCTTTCCATTTTGGAGCAATGGATAGACAGGTTGCAGTTAACAGATAAGTTAACAGTTCTTTTGTTTCACATTGTTTATTAGCACCCTCAAAGATAGGTAGTAAAAGGAGTTGTGGTGTAAGTTCAGCATGACCAAGTATGATGTTTTTGTATTTCAGATCCAATTTAATCTCAAAATGTCTTAATTTCCAGGCACTCCCACTGAAGGTGAAGGAACATGCCCCTTTGTGTACATACTCTGTTCTGACTCTGTCCTTATTGCTGGTCTTTGCTTCTCACCCGCCTGACCTGTTACCTAACCTCCAGCCCATCTGTGGGTCACTTCTCACTGCCCTCCTGAGCTTTAGCACCTGAACTGGTCCCTCGCTGCAGCCCATCAGGGAGTGTGACAGGAATTGGTGCCCCACCTCATTGGTCCCCACAGGGGTTGTAGAACCTCTGACACGGATCACAAAAAGCCATGGAGTGTTCATTACCACCCTGTCTTCTGGTGAGTGAATAATCCTCACCCACAGCTACAGCTGAGCTACAATAGATCTCTTGTGTAGCTCTAAAGGCAGGGAAGGGAGAGCCCTTGCTTCTGGCCAGCAACTATACCATTTTCTGATGTTCATTTCAGGCAGAGACTTAATATGGGTGAGAGCAATACTTCCCTCTGGCTAAACACATCCAGCAACCTAATGAAAACAATCTCCAGCTCTAATAGAGAGGCTCAAATGGAAGCATTAGGATAATCAGAAAAAGCTTCCTTTTTTTCTTCTCTTGGTGACCTGAGTTGGATACCGGCAGCCTAAAATGTGCAGAGACAGGTACTTTCATTCTATAAATTCCGATACATTTAGGTCTCAGGAGTGCTTGAAAATCTTTCTCTCAAAGTTCATAAATGCTGAAGCCAGAAATTTGCAAGCTCGCCCTGTTGATCCTATTGCTTTCCCCACAAGTGGTCCATTTCCAGTCAGTTTTGCATGTGTTCATTCCTACATTGATTTTGTCCTTCTGCATTAATCTGTCATTTTTAAAAACAAAAGTCCATACAAAGCAAAAACAAAAACCAGATTTACATATGCATGTTACAGTTGAATATGTATCTTATTCCAGTGCATGCATTTGACATGAAACCCATAGGATAAATATATTCAAATTTGGGTGCTCATCCAGGATGTCAAGATTAAGTCAGGCAGACAAGTAAAATATGGAAGACAGTTGGATATTTTGTTATGAAAGGTATAATAATTGCCTATTCAGATTGGACAGAGATCTATTTTGTTCAGCGTTCTCACAAGGGCCAGACAGATGCTTCTAGGGATAATGGGCATTTTGTGTTGGAACATAAGAAGAAGCCTGTGGCAAGTGTGGCAACCTGCCTCAGTAAACATGAGAGTGAGGTAATAGGACCAGATATGTGTCAGAATGAGTAATCCTTGAGAGGTCTGATATTATTGACTCTCCAGGGTTTCAAACCAGAAATTCTGCAGCCCCATCTTTTGATGTGTAACAGAGACTTGGTTGGATGAAGCAGATGGGCCTGTCCTTGCTGCTGCTTGTCCACCAGGTTTCTCTTAGGCACAGCAACCCAGGTCATATGGGCAGCAGCGTGGGGGTGTGGGTTGCAGTGATTTTTAGGAAGTCATTAGCTTGCACCAGGCGTCCTGTCGGGGAGACCCAGTTTTCTGAGTGCATGTTCTGGAAGTTGGGCAATAGGGATAGTACAGGATTCCTTTTGGTGTACCAACCTCCCCACTGCACCAAGGATTCCCTGCCCGAGCTGCTTCAGGTCATGATCGATGTTCTCCTGGAGACACCTAGTTTGGTTGTCCTAGGGGATTTTAACATCCATGTCAACACAACCTTACAAGGGGCCGCTCGGGACTTCGTGCAAAGCATGGCTTCCATGGGGTTGTCCCTGAATGAGTTTGGTCCAACTCATAGTTGCCTTAGACCTGGTGTTCACCTCTATTGATGTGGGTGATCTGACATTAAGTAAAAGAGAAACAAAATAAGTGTCATGGTGAGATCACTTCCTGGTACAACTGGACTTCTCCGTGACCCTTCCCCTCTGCAGGGAGGTGGGATTGATTCAGATAGTCCACCCCCGCCACTTAATGGATCCAAATGGTTTCCAGAGAGTGGTAGGGGATGCTTTATCCCATGTTGATGGCCTTTCATCTGAGTCCCTGGTGGCCTGCTGGAATGCGGAGTTAACCGGGGCTATTGACTGTCTGGCTCCGAAGCGCCCTCTCCGATTGCATGGAGCCTGGACAGTGCTGGTCCTGAATGGGGTAACTGGGCCCCTAAAGGACCAGGTGCGCAGCCTGGGAGTCATTTTGGACTCAAAGGTGTCCATGCAGGTGCAGGTTAATTCTGTGTCCAGGGCAGCTGTCTACCAGCTCAATTTGATATGCAGGCTGAGACCCTACCTGTCTGTGGAGCCAGAATCTAGTACCAAAAGGGTTTTAGAATTGATTCAAGAATTTGGTCAAGTCGCAGGATTTAAATTGAATAAGGTAAAAACTAAGGTTTTAGAGAAAAATCTAACACCAATAGAGAGAGAGAGGTTTCAGAATGAGACAGGTTTAACAGTGGTTAAGAAAGTTAAATATTTGGGGATTAACTTGACAGCAAAAAATGGGAACTTATTTAAAGATAACTATGAAAAATGCTGGGCTGAAGTGAAAAAAGACTTAGAAATTTGGTCAAATTTGAAGCTTTCACTGCTGGGTCGTATTGCTGCTGTAAAAATGAATGTATTGCCTAGAATGTTGTTTTTGTTTCAAACATTGTAAATTGTGGACAAAGTGGACTGTTTCAAGAGGTGGCAGAGAGATATTTCTAGATTTGTCTGGCAGGGCAAGAAGCCCAGAATAAAATTTAAAATACTAACAGATGCAAAGGATAGAGGTGGATTCGCCCTGCCAGACCTCAAACTTTACTATGAATCAGCAGCATTTTGCCGGTTGAAAGAATGGCTGCTTCTTGAAAACACTGACATTTTGGATCTAGAAGGCTTTAACAATGTATTTGGATGGCATGCATATCTGTGGTATGACAAGGTCAAAGCACATAAAGCATTTAAAAACCATATTGTCAGGAAAGCACTGTTTAATGTTTGGATAAGATACAAGGATTTATTGGAAAATAAAACTCCAAGGTGGCTGTCACCGATGGAAGCGAAAGCCTTGAAAAAGCTCAATATGGAGGTCAATTGGCCGAAATATTGGGAAATTTTGGAACAAGATGGAGACAGATTGAAATTGCAGAGTTTTGAAAAACTAAAAATCAAAGTGCGAGACTGGCTTCATTATTATCAGATAATGGAGGCATACAATTTGGATAAGAAAATCGGCTTCCAGGTGGAAAAATCAAAATTAGAAACTGAATTGTTAGAACCCAAAACTAAAATTTTGTCAAAGATGTATAACTTGCTGTTGAAATGGAACACTCAGGATGAAACGGTGAAATCTGCTATGATTAAATGGGCACAAGACGTTGGACATAATATTATGTTTGCTGACTGGGAACAGTTGTGGACCACAGGTATGAAATTTACGGCATGTAATGCCTTAAGAGAAAATATTATGAAAATGATATACAGGTGGTACATAACCCCAGTCAAGCTTGCAAAAATCTACCATTTGCCTGATAATAAATGTTGGAAATGTAAAGAAACTGAAGGTACATTTTTCACCTTTGGTGGACGTGCCCAAAGATTAAGGCTTTCTGGGAGATGATATATAATGAACTCAAAAAGGTATTTAAATATACCTTCTTGAAGAAACCAGAGGCCTTTCTCCTGGGCATAGTCGGCCAATCGGTGTTAAAAAAGGACAGAACTTTCTTTATGTATGCTAGAACAGCAGCAAGAATACTCACTGCAAAGTATTGGAAGACACAAGATCTACCCACACTGGAGGAAAGGCAGATGAAAATGATGGAATACATGGAATTGGCGGAAATGACTGGCAGAATCCGTGACCAGGGAGAAGAGTCGGTGGAAGAAGATTGGAAGAAATTCAAAGACTATTTACAGAAATATTGCAAAATTAATGAATGTTAGAATGATGTTGGATTGAAGTTAAGGGGTTTCTAGCTGTAGAGGCTAAAAGAATATGGAAAAATTGGTTTTAATATGTAAAATCTAAAATTTAAAGTTATATTATATCAAGATTAAAGATTAGGATTAAAAAGGAGGGAAAGGAATTGTTGGATTAACATATTTAATTTGAATACAAAGAGGGAGGTAAGAGGAGGTCCGGGAAACAAGTAAATGTAAAAGAAGAGAGCAAACGATGAAAGAGTTTTTAATTGTTTTTTCCTTTTTTCCTTTGTATTTTTTCTCTTTATTGTTAATTTTTTCTTCATTAATGTGGTTTTTTTCTTGTGAAATTTTAATAAATATTATTTAAAATAAAAAAAAAGAGACCCTACCTGTCTGTGGACTGTCTCATCATAGTGGTACATGCTCTAGTTATCTCCCACTTGGACTACTGTAATGTGCTCTACATAGAGCTACTTTTGAAGGTGACCTGGAAGCTACAACTAATCCAGAATGCGGCAGCTAGATGGTGACTGGAAGTGGCCGCCAAAATCATATAACACTGGTCCTAAAGGATTTACATTGGTTCCCAGTACATTTCTGAGCACAATTCAAAATGTTGGTGTTGACCTTTAAAGCCCTAAATGGCCTCTGCCCAGTATACCTGAAGAAGCGTCTCTACCCCATCATTCAGCCTGGACACTGAGATGCAGCTCCGAGCATCTTCTGGTAGTTCCCTCACTGCAAGATGTGAGGTTGCAGGGAACCAGGCAGAGGGCCTTCTTGGTAGTGGCACCCGCCGGGAAGTTTTTAATGTTTGATCTTTTATTGTGGTTTTAAAATTCTGTTGGGAGCCACCCAGAGAGGC